CGGGGGCCCCGTTCGGGTTCCATGCACTCCGCCACATTCCATGGGGCTCCTTTCCGTTCTTTCCCGATGAGGGGCGCAGTGGCGTGCAGCCATATCGGGCGGAAAGGGGGAATGACGCTAGATGATGCAATTGCCACGGGACATGCGACACGTGTCCATTACAGACGGGGAGTGGTTCCATGGGCTTCGTGGAACCTCATGGAACCTAATGGAACCCCATGGAACCTCATGGAACCTCGTGGAACCTTATGGAATCTCATGGAACCTCATGGAACCTTATGGAACCTGGCGGAAAGTGATCGATTCCAGGTAGACTAAAGGCGCCGTCCAACACAAAATTATTATTGCCGTGTGGCCTAGTGGTAAGGCTTCTGCCTCCTAAGCAGAGGATCGCGGGTTCGAATCCCGTCACGGTCGCACTCGCTGCCATTTTATTGTTGGTCTTCGTCAGCCTTACATCCAGAATCTGGTAAGTACAGGACGCGATCGAGGCTTACGCTGCACGGATGAGGTCGCTAATCAGCTTCTGCAGCTTCTCGCCGTCTTCGGCGAGCTTGCGGATGCTCTCGGCGAGCTTCTCAGTGGCCATGGCGTCTTGGATGAGCTGCCAGTGGAAGGCTTTCTCGGAGAGCGATGTTTTGAGGATGTCCATTGTCTTGGCGGCGGAGAGCACGGTCTTGTAAATCTCCTCGGTATTGGCGAGCTCGGCGAGGAGCTTGGGAGAAATGGTGAGGAAGTCGCAGCCTGTGAGGTGCTTGATCTTGCCGATGTTGCGGAAGGACGCGCCCATTACGATCGTCTTGTAGTCGTGCTTCTTGTAGTAGTTGTAGATGCGCTGGACCGAAAGCACGCCCCGGTCCTCGGCGCCGTCGTAGTCACGGCCCGCGGATTTTTTGTACCAGTCGTAAATTCGGCCCACAAACGGCGAGATAAGGGTGACGCTGGCCTCAGCGCACGCGACGGCCTGGACGAAGGAGAACAGCAGGGTCAGGTTGCAGTGGATGCCGTCCTTCTCCTCGAGCTCCTTCGCAGCCTGGATGCCCTCCCACGTGCTAGCGATCTTGATCAGCACGCGGTCCTTGCTGATGCCAACCTCGTTAATGTTGATGCCGACCTCATTAATCATAGAGACTACTGAGACGACGGGCTTTCGCGAGCGTCGCCTCGCGGTCGAAGGAGAGCGTCGCATCGACTTCGGTGGACACGCGGCCCGGTACAATCTTCAGGATTTCCAGGCCGAAGTTGATCATAAGACGGTCGATGGCCCATGCAGTCTGCTCGTCAACGGTTTCGCCGTGCTTCTTGCCGTACGCGACGGCATCGTCCGGGAGCTTCGCATACGACGTCTTCTCGGTGGCCGCCAAGATCAGCGACGGGTTGGTTGTCGCATCCTGCGGCTAGCACTCGGCAATCGTGTCGAAGTCGGCGACAACGGTCGTAGGCGTCTTTAGCGATTCCAGAGCAGAAGGCATGGTGAGCAGGGCGTTGGATTGTCACGATGTATAAGTCAAGGAAGGAAGGAATGCAAGGAACAGTGATTGATAGCGAGGCGTGGCAAATGCGATGCGAGACACAAACAAAGCGATGTCGATGCGAGACACAAACAAAGCGATGTCGATGCGAGATCTGTTGTGCCACCCCGTCAAAAAAGGACACGATCACACGAAACGTATGCCACCTCAGACATACATTACCTGATGCTTTTTCCAATGACGTGAGCGAGGTCCGAGCGAGGTTAGATCACGTGCCGCGATGCGCGATGCGCGTTGATGCCGACGTCGACACGATAGGGTGCCAGGAATGGACTGGTCAGTGGACACGTCCGCTCACTGACACTAGCGTGTATCGGTGGATGGCGGGGTCCTCGGTCGCCGCGCAGGGCATTCAGGCAGGGCTGGGGCGCGACTCGGCCAGATCCGTTCGTGGTTCCGATGGCTCGGATGGCCGACGAGGCCGAAGGACTGATGTCATTTTCCCCCCTATCATTGCAACTTCCTATCATGATAGGCCGCCAATCATCATAACACGACAGGACTCACCGACAAGTATACAGGGCGTACACGGTCGACCTCTGCTGATACACGACCTCTGTCCATGACGACATGAAGGTGCGGGCTGTGGTGATGTGATCGTTTCCATTTCTTCTTCATGTGGTGGCCAGTCGGTGTTTTTTCACCGACGGCGCGCCGTCCGTTTTCTGTCTTTTTTTTTTTTTTTTTTGGTCTTTGTTTTTTGACAAACCCCCTGATCCGCCATGACGGTCATGGACCGATATCACACGCCGAAGGTGTCCTGTTGATACCAGAAGGACGGCCGAAAGTCACGCCAAGTCGACATCATCTCTTCTCCCTGATGAGTCCACCCCACCATATCTCGCTATCAGTGGACCATCACGACTCGGGAAGGGTTTGAATCACGCGGCCCCATTCGCTGCTCGCGCTCGACCCCGACGACCCTGACGACCCTGACCCCCTCCACCCTGAGACCTTGGCCGCCCCCCATCTTCCGCAGGTATGGCAGAGCAGGATGCGCCGGTCGCGGCCGACCGGTACGCGGAGCTGCGGCCACCCGAGTCGGACTTCAGCGAGCCGCCGAGCCGCTGGTCGATCCTCAAGACCATCACGTGGAAGGACTTCACCTTCTCCTCACTGGCACAGATGCCGTGCACGCGCCGCGCATACCTGACGGGCATATCCTTCGGCGTCGGGATGTTTGCCATCCGTTGGTTTGCGACGCGCCGCGTGCCAACCGCCATGAACTGGGGCGCGTTCACGTTCGGTGCGCTCGCGCTGCTCGACTGGGAGTACTGCCGCTACCAGAACACGCTGGTGCGGGAGCAGTTCGCCCAGATGGCCGCAGCCCATGCGGCCGAGCGCGAGGCCATCAACGCTCGCCAGGCCGCAGCGCAGCGCGATGCGCTGACCCAGGAACGCTAGGCGGTGTCGGACTGCCGCTTGCATCGTTCTACAAGCGTCGCAGTAGTATCAGTGTGCTAGGCCGAAAAGGCAGCAATGTTCGTTATACTGTACATAAATAGAGGGCATGCATGCATGTGTGCGTGCGTCATAGCAAGATCCAAAGCATGATCACAGGCAGATCAGAGGAGCCCCTGGCGCTTCAAATCCTCGTAGGTCTTGCGGTTAAAGACATTGCCCGCATGATCTTCGAACTCCTCGACGAGATCCGGGTTGCTCGCGGTCATGGCGCTGCGCTCACGGTCGAGCTTCTCTTGCAACGCATAGGCCGCGGCAATCGAGGTGATGTCCTGGAACAGCCGCGGCTGCGTGATGCCGAGACATTTGAGGCCCCGCAGGTGGCGCGACTTGGTGAAGTGCGCGTCGAAGGCCCGGCGGCCCATGTACTCCATGTTGCCGCAGATCTCGCAGGCATACTTGACGTTGAGCCCGTGCAGTTTGTACAGCCAGAAAGGAATCGGCTTGCCGTCCCATCCAAGCGGCAGGTTGAACGGATTGTAGATGGGCTGGTCGTCGCGGTCGTCCCCGTCACCCTCGGCGTCGCTCGCAACCGACTCGGCGTCCGGGTCGCCTGCAGGCGCCAGCGACCGCAGCTGCTCCAGACGCAGCTCGGTTTCCGTCAACGTCTGCTTGCGCTCGGTATGGATTTGGGTATCTTCCAGCACCCCGCTGAAGGCCTTGAAGAGGTGTTCCACCCAGAACTCGTTCCACGCCGCAGCGCGGCACTGGTCCGGCGTCAGCGCTGATGAATCCGAAGGTGACGTCGTGGTGTTGTGGCTGGCGTCACCATGAGCCAACGTCTTCTTTGCCGTGCTCGATGCGTCCGTCTTCACAGCATCCAACGCCTCGACGGCTTTGCGATGCCGTTTGCCGGGCACATGTGCACGGAAGGTGTTCGGGTTGGAAAACTGCTTCTGGCAAGCGATACAGTAGAGTTCATCATGATTCGTCGTCTCTGTCTCCGTCGCTGCCGTCGTCGCTGCCATCGTCTCTGTCACAGCAGATGATGGCGTCGTCGATGACGGCGCCACGAGCGCTTCCCAGCCCGCGTAGTCGCCGTCGCGCCCCCACCGTGCGGCGAAGGCCGCCTCAGCCTCGGCGTGGAGCTGCGGCAAGTCGTAGAGCGGGAAGGCGCGCCGCACAAAGTCGGTCAAGTACAGCGTCAGGCTGAGAATCCATTTCTGGAACGCCAGGGACTGGCGGACGGCCAACGGGTGGCTGGTGGGATGCGCCACGGTCCGCAGAAACGCGATGTAGGACAGCGAGGAGGCGTCGTCGACCAGCGTGGCGCGGACCGGCGGCAGGTTGATATACGCGTTGTAGAGCTCGTTCAGGTCAAAGTTGCGGCCGAGTCGTTCTTCGCCCGTGTAGATGGCGTCGAGCGCCGCGTGCTCCTCGGCCACGTGGCGGACCGTGTACTGCTGGAATGGCGCGGGCTGTAGCTCCTGATGCAGTGCCGGCAGCATCGGCTCGTCGCCCTCGTTATGGGCCGCGAGGGCCGCGTCCAACGGCGTGCTGTCGCCATTCATTCGCGCAGCCCGTTCGGGGTTCATGAGCATCGGCGCGGCCGCCGCCGTTGTCGTCGTATTGGCGGTGGCCGTGGCGGTGGCCGAGGTCCCGGCCGCCAAGGCGGCGCCGAGGTCGTCATCGACAGCCATCGGCGCGTCACCGTCCGGCGCCGCCGCAGCAGCCGTGGCCGCGGCTGGCGCCAGGTCGAAGGTCTCGCGTAAAGCTTCCAGTTCGCGGTAAAAATCCACGAGGCCGTCGCGGCCGGCGCCGAGCGACGTCGATCCCTCCGCGTCGGCCGCGTGCGTGCCGCGGAGGGTGTCGGGAGCGGCATAGAGGGCCAGGAGGTCGCGGGCGCGGTCGCTCGCCGTGTCGAGCAGCGCGCGGGTGCGCCGCTGCTGCGCGAGCCGGTCGCGGTGGGTATACCGCTCCTCGAGGCGCTCCTCGACGAGCTGGTGCTGGATGAACTCGATCTCAGCGTGCGCGCGGCGCGCTTGCTCGAGCGCCGGCGTGAGGCCTGGCATCACGGGACGCGCGGTGGCCAGGGCCAGGGGGCGGCTGGAACGGCCGAAGAACGTGGCGCGGCGGGCGCCGTCGGCACGTGGCACGAAGCAAAATGACCGCCGTCGGCACGTGGTCACGTGGTCACCTGGTCGGCCCACGCGATCGGCGCCGACAGCGGGGTGCCCAAGACGGTCGCGGGTGATGAGCGCTGTCGCTGAAAGTGGCGTCAGCGGTGGATGCGACGTCCCAGGACGTCGGAGGGAACCGTAGGGGGACGGCGACGCAGGGACACGGCTGTCGGTGTCGGTCGGTCGGTGTTTCGCCCGACGAGACGCCTGCCGTCGATCGAGCCTCGACCGAGCCTCGACCGAGCAGGCGGACCCATGCGGCACGGCGGGCGAGTGCGAGTGCGAGTGCGAGAGCAGGAAGGCG